GCCAACTGCCTCCTCTTCCAACTCTCTAGTAGCCAAGAGTCTAACCCATGACTCAGGTTTCACCAATCAGATGCAGCTGCAAGAGAAACAAGGTCAGCAATAAGCCTAACGGGGTGGCGGCTGCACCCAGGAGGACCATCTAATGAACGTGGGGCTTGCTCTGCTTGGTTCCTTGTGGGTGATGGTGGTGGAGCTTGGGACTGCAAAAGTTGCTGAGTCCCAGAGAAAGCTAGTTGGTTGGGCATTACTTCTGACTGTGTAGAGTGATCTCAAGCCCAAGAGAGAGCCTGTGGGCTACAGAATACTCTCCTAATAAATTCTGCTTCTGCTTAAACTGGCAAGAGAGAATTCTTCAGTATGCAACTAAAAAGTGTGACCCAGACATGAAGACAAGCTTAGGAGGAGGTCTATTTTCAGCAGTTTTGCTTTCAATACGATGACAGAGGCCTTCATCCTAGCTTGGAAATTTTCTGTTTGTTGATAATGCCTAATGTGTTCTATGCTCACCTTCAGAAATTTTCTATTTATGTTAACATTTATATATACAAAACCAAATAAAACTACATATATGTATAAATGCTAAACATGACTACACACACACATATATGGCATGTAACTATACATCATCTTTATATATACACAAATAAGACTATGTATCACATCTATATACATGCCACATATATACTATATATGGTATATATGCATACCTGTACCCTACATATAATTATACTAACATATGTGTAATTATGAGTATGTATATAATGTTCTCAATCCACCCTCCAATCTTTAATCTTTCAGTCACCATTTTGATGTCTTTAGTACTTATGATTTAAGTTCTGAAAAGATACCTGTAACTTCTATTTAAATTATCAGTCTATCAGATGCTGGAGTGGCTCAGTTGGCTAAGCATCTGACTCCTGATCTCAGATCAGGTCATGATCTTACAATTAGTGAGTTCAAGCCCTGCATCAGGCTCTTTGCTATTATGCAGTATGTAGTATGCAGCCTGCTTGGGAATCTCTTTCTCTCTGCCTCTCTCTCTGCTCCTCCCCTCCTCACAATCCTGTGCACTCTCATTCTCTCATTCTCTCTCAAAAATAAAAAAAAACACTTAGAATATAATAATAAAATAAATTATCAGTCTAACAATTACCCATTACCTCCACTGCAGTTATAACCTCAGAGATCCTATTAATCTCTCAGTAATCTTTTCTTTAAAAATTTTTTTTTTCAACGTTTATTTATTTTTGGGACAGAGAGAGACAGAGCATGAACGGGGGAGGGGCAGAGAGAGAGGGAGACACAGAATCGGAAACAGGCTCCAGGCTCCGAGCCATCAGCCCAGAGCCTGACGCGGGGCTGGAACTCACGGACCGCGAGATCGTGACCTGGCTGAAGTCGGACGCTTAACCGACTGCGCCACCCAGGCGCCCCTCTCAGTAATCTTTTCTAATGTCACACTGTTCCTCTTTCAAACCACCTATTTCATTTTCAAAGATATTTTCTGTGTCAGTTAGGCTAGGTTAGGTGACACTGTGATAATATAAACACACCTTAAATCTCAGTGAAGTAAGACAACAAAGTTTATTTCTCACTCACTCGTTCAGTGCACGTGAGTAGGGAGGCTCTGTCTGCCTCTGGTCATTTCAGGATCAATTTCCACAATTTCCAAGTCAGAAAAGGGAAGGGCCTGGACTCTTACAGCTTTGGCTCAAAAGTGACATATTCATATCCACACACATTCAACAACCCAAATAAGATCCATAAAGGTCTTCAACTTGGAAGAAGCAGAAGAGTATAATCCTATTACGTTTATTGAAGGTGGAAGGCCTACACATTTGGTAAACAGCATTAATTCTTTCATACCACATAATGTTCTTGTGAATCACCTAAATAGCAGGAATTTATAGATAGCCTAAGTGGCTCTTGGGTTTAATGTAAATCTCACTGCTTTCATGAGGGCTCTTTACTTGGATACATCTGATTTGTCATTCTTATCTGAACTGACAATTTGAAATCCTATATTTCAAACTTTCTATGTGGTAATTCTACACAGACAGATCACTATCCACTACTGAGAGTTGAAATGGGTCTGTTTGAAATTTCTCAAATTTCAAGCCTCTGGAAGGTCCCAATAAGATGAAGATTTGTCCCTTGATGGTTAGCCCCAGGACGTTCCCTCTCCCAATCTAGTCTCATCCAGGTGGAATAACTTTTTTTTTTTTTTTTTTTTTTTTTTGGATTTGTGATAAGCCATTTTTTCCTCATTAATGGACTCTTTGGGCAATTTCACTGGAATTAGCCAAGGAAAGGTAAGTTAAATTAATGTGTTCAAACCATTCCTTGAACTACAACATTTCCTAAATTGCTGATTTTGGATAGGACGGTAGCCATTAATCCAGTCAACCAAGACAAACCAGGGAGACATCAGCTCTTTCCCTCATACCCTGCCTTATACTCTTTTCCTTCACCAAACCTTGTCAATTTTGTCTCCTAAGTACCTAGCAAAACAACAGAGCTCTGAGGCAAGAATTAATACCAAACTCAATATACAATAATTTGGCATTACCAGAGGAAATGTTACATGTAACATTAAATAAGCAAGATCTTGATAGCTAAGGATTTTGATAATGCTGCTCAAGGCAAAACCAGTAGCCTTTCTTACTCCTTTCAGCAAAGTCCTAAGTGCTCTTGATTAATAAGGGAAAAGGTTGCTATTCAGTTTGCACAGTAAGTACTCAAGAAATAGTTGAATTTGATAAAGGGGAAAAACAGAAAAATGGAGTAAAAACATTCATGGGGACTGCCACCAATTTGGGTAGGCTATAGCCAGGTTGCTGTGTCCATAATTGCAATCAATATTAGGAAGGTGTTGACTGCAACTTAATGAGAAATGCAGACTGCAGAAAGCTAGAAGGAAGGTTCTGAAAAATAAATCCTAAAGATTTCTACATCACCAAGGTATAACAAAAATTTTCCACTGGTTTCTGGCACTATGGTAACTAAGGAAAAGTTATGAGTGATATATTTAACAAGGACGTTATTTTTGTAATGTTCTTATAATGGGTTTCAATTGGTAGACTTTGAATTTCAGGTAATGACTTAATACGTAGCAAAATGCCTTACTGATGAAAGTATCTATTATGATTAAGATGAATTAGCCCGTAGAAAGTTGTGCATATCCATCCTTGCAAATGGTTTATTGTGACTAAAAGCATGGTGTTTTATTCATGAAGAACAAGTTCCTTCCCTATAACAGCCCTAAGCTTGTCATGCAAATGGAAGTGTCCTTTAAAAATTATCCTTGCATTGAAGGTTTTTGCAGATTGGCTATAGTTTATTTTATAAATATACCAACAGTTGATTGAATACTGGTTTCTCTTTGTAGATACCAGCTTTAGGAATGCTAAATGTTAAATGTGGAGTGAGTACATTCAACTGAGACCTCACAGAACACTCTTTACTCTCAGACTTTGAATTTATTTAAAACTTATAAAAAGCTAAGTAGGAAGCCAAGTGGTTCTCAAAGGACAATGCAAGGGATACTTGAGGTATTGGAAATAGTCTGTACTTTGACTATGATGATGGATACACAAGCCTGTACACATGTGATAAAAAAAAAAAGGCACAGAAATAAATAAATACACACACACATACACACACACATACATACACATACACACAGGGATACAAGTATAACTAGAGAAACTCAGTAAGATCAGTGGAGTGTATCAATGTCCATTTCCTGCATTTGATATTATACTATCATTTTATGATATTACCATTGGGGAAACTGGATAAATGATACAGGGGAATCTCTATATTATTTCTTACACCTGTATATAAATCTATAATGATCTCAAAATAAAAACTAAGCAAAACTACTTTTCTTGAAATGCCATGTTTTAAAGCCATCCAAATGTGAAGGAATTCCTTTGGTATTTTTCTTCCCTTGTAAGAGAGTAATCTACATGATTATAAACCTATCCTTAGAACCAAGCACAGAGCCCATAGTGTGAATGTCAGCTAATGAAGCATTTAGATAGAGATTTAATTAAGTGAAATTCAGGTAGTATTTAATTAAGTGAAATTGTGGGAGAAGGGGTATTCATATTGCTAATAGAACAAATACTGCTTTTTAAAAAACTGTATAAATCATTTGAGTTTATTTTTTTTATTTTTTTTTTATTTTTTTTTTTTAATTTTTTTTTTTTTTTTAACGTTTATTCATTTTTTTTGGGACAGAGAGAGACAGAGCATGAACGGGGGAGGGGCAGAGAGAGAGGGAGACACAGAATCGGAAACAGGCTCCAGGCTCTGAGCCATCGGCCCAGAGCCCGACGCGGGGCTCGAACTCACGGACCGCGAGATCGTGACCTGGCTGACGTCGGACGCTCAACCGACTGCGCCACCCAGGTGCCCCTCATTTGAGTTTCTTAAAAACATTTTCCTTTAACCTAAAACACCACTTATGGATGCATTAAACATTCTTTTTATATTCACAACAAAAATTGTTGATCTGCCTTTTAATTGCTTGGCTAATATTATAATTATCCTTTATGATATCTTTCTGAAAATAGAAGTATTAAAAGGTCTACAAAGATATATTGTTTCAGGGCCATTTTGAGACTTTGATAAGCCTTAGGTATATTTATATTTGACAATCTTCTCCACCACCAAACATAATAAAATAAATTCACATGCCACATTCATGGGAATGTGGAAGGGAGTGTGAAGGGAATCACAAGGGAACGTGAATTTCCCTTTTCATGGGAAAAGGGGTCTCAATATTTTTCAGAGTTCTGAATGCTTATATGCCCTACATATACTGTGCACATGGACTTTAATGAATACAATACACCTGACTGATTTTAGCATGGTAAAAAGCACAATTCACTTCAAGAATGTGGAATAAGGCGGTATGACAGGTGAATCAGTATACCTAATTGCCTTCCCAAAGCCACAAAGTTGGTCTTCTAAGGTATAGTAGCAAAACAAACCTGAGCATGTGGGCAGCACTGAAGACCACATCGAACTCTGTGCTGTCCAATTCAGCTGCTTTTTTTGCCATCTCAGCTGCTTCTATGAGGCGAGCTTCTTCCAGAAGAAACTGACCTGTAAAGTATAAAAGCAAGTGAGCTTCAACTTGGAAAATACAAATCTAATCCTGTGAAGCCATTAAAGCTGCTACAGAGGAAAATATAAAAATAGCGGTAAACATGATCTGAAGCTAAGGTTTATGTATGTTGTACATCTATATCTCTTCACTTGGTTATATTTTATATGCCTTTCCCTTCATTGCAGGACATCCCAATGTACCAGTCTGGTACATTAATAGAGTTGGGTCTTTTCTTGTCCTTAAAAAAAAAATTGTGTATAGACTATCGAACCAAGAAATAAAATGAATACATTTAAAGATATATTACAAAAAAGAATTAAATTTATTTTAATTATTAGTCCTTTAAAACAGCTACTGTCTCTTATGCATATGTGCAAACAAGGCTATCTATATTGAGATATATTCATTTCTTATATTCAAGCAGCACTACAATTATTGAAGGAACATACAAAGGTCCATTTAGCATTTACTCACTAAATTGATTGTGAGTAATAGATTGATTACTAAACATGGAATAAATATTAACAAGTTCACATTTTTGAGATTACTTTCAAGTCTGCTTTGCAAGGTTAGAATTATTGCAGATAGAGCCATACTATTCTTTGAAACTATACCTCAAGAATTGATATAGGGTACTATCCCAGAAACACATTCTAAGGACAAAAAAAAAAAAAAAAAGAAGAAGAATTGGGTCCAATTTTAAGGATGTAAATAGGCAAGCAGAGAGAATAGGCTGACTTTTTGATTTTTTCCTTTATAACTGGAGATTTATTAACAGCACAAGTAATGAAGTTTGGCCCTATCTGACAAAGTTTGGCCCTTTCAAAAGAAAACCACAGCAATGCATAACAGTCTTCTAACCCAAAAGGACTGGTCTTAAGATACAAGAGGACATTTTCTGTTTTAAGAATTTATAATAAGCTACAGATATTGCTTGTATTTAAGCATTTCTAAACTTAAATTGGTAAGAAATGGTAAGTAAAGATAAACCTATGGTTTCAAGCCTACTTATTAAAATGCAGTGACAAAGTTTTAAGACCAGAACTTAGACATCTCTCAGGTATTTCTACTGAAAGTTGTACATTACTCTCTTAGTTTGTCACCTAATACTATGCCTTTCTCATGCCTCAAAATAAACATAATTGTTAGGTCAGAAGATTATTAAGGACACAGATTTATAAATGCATTTGACCCTTGAATACACAGGTTTGAACTACATGGGTCCACTTATACGTAGTTGTGTTTTTGCTTTGTTTTTTGACAAATACAGTACACTACTAGAAATGTATTTTCCCTTCCTTATGATTTCAACTTTTTTTCTCTAGCTTAATTACTCTATTCTAAAAATACAGTATATAATATACATAACATACAAAATAGGTGTTAACAGTCTGTGTTATCAGTAAGGCTTCTAGTCAACAGTAGGCTATTAGTAGTTAAGTTTTGGGGGAGTCAAGAGTTATACACAGATTTGCAACTGTGCAGTGATCAGTGCCCCTAACCCCCATGCTGTTCAAGAGCCAACTGCAGTTACATTTATAAATAGAAGAATTATGAAATTCGTGTGTATACTAACTTTAAATGTGTTGATATGAGGTTCAACTGAAAGTATATGCTGTTTATAAACAGCAAAATAAAATAAGAATAAGATACTCTATGGCATCCTGAAAATTATTAATATCTCATCATTTATGTCTTAGTAGAGGATACCAGGCTAAACCCATTCTTCAGTTACTCTTATTATAGGTGTGTATTTTTTTTCCTTTTTCCTTTTTAATGTTTTTAAAAAATATTTATTTGAGAGAGAGAGAGAGACAGACACAGAGACAAAGACAGAGAGAAAGAGAAACATGAGTTGGAAGGGGCAGAGAGGGAGAGAGAGAAAATCCCAAGCAGGCTCCTTGCTGTCAGCACAGAGCCTGACACAGGGCTGGATCCTACACACCCTGAGATCACAACCTGAGCAAGATCAAGAGTCAGATGTTAACAAACTGAGCCACCCAGGCACCCCTTATTATAGGCTTTTCAAATTAACACATAATATTAATTGCCACCTGCCTTCAAAAAATAATGTTCACCCAAGTAAATGCATTAACAAATATGTTAATTACTATGTGATATTTAAACAAAGGATAATGTAGGGATTTATTAATTGTTCTTTTCCCTTTCCAGACAGCTATTAACTCTGAAATGTATTCTGTATTAATAGTTAGGAAAATACAACAATTAACTGAATAATGAAGGTTATTTAGTAAAATTCATTACTCCAGACTATAAAGGGTAAAGAAGATAAGATACACTAGCTCTGGTCCGAAAAGAAAAAAAACTATATAAAGGAAAACAAAGAGAAAAAGAGAAAAAAGAGGGACATGATACCTACACTATCCACACAGAAACAGAGGACAATGGCAAGAAGCTTGTGTGATGCAGATAATGATACTGGTGGTTTAAGAGGTCAGTTTAGATGCAAAGCCCCAAGGGCAAAGCCTTTCAAGCTCTGTCAGTGCCAAACACATCTATCTCTCTTTCTTTTTCTTTCTTTTCTTTCTTTCTTTCTTTCTTTCTTTCTTTCTTTCTTTCTTTCTTTCTTTCTTTCTTTCTTATTTTTTTCACAGTTTTATTTTTTTATTTTTATTTTTTAATATGAAATTTATTGTCAAATTGGTTTCCATACAACACCCAGTGCTCATCCCAACAGGTGCCCTCCTCAATACCCATCACCCACCCTCCCCTCCCTCCTACCCCCATCAACCCTCAGCTTGCTCTCAGTTTTATGTGGATCCTGAGAAACTTAACAGAAGACCATGGGGGAGGGGAAGGAAAAAAAAAGTTGGAGAGGGAGGGAGCCAAACATATCTTAATGTTCAACAACAACAAAAAAGGATGACAACATTAACTAGTTGTATAAAATTAAATACACAATTTTTATCATAATTTTAAAACATTTCTTTTGCTTTGTCAGCTTTGCCATGCAAAATGCAATTTACACACTTTGCAAGGTCCCCAAACCACATGAAACATGTAATTTTTACTAAACAGTAACAGAAAAAATCCCCATATGATCATTTTTAACAGCAGAATTCATTCATCATATTAACATTCAGGAAAACAATACCGCAGCATATTAGATATTTGCATCATTCCCCCCTTTCTGTTCTCGACGGACCATATATCTCAATATCCCAGCATTAGTGTTCTGCTATGATAAAGGCATAAAATAGTATGCAGTGTGGACCATTTGGTGTCTGTTTTTAAAATGAACTTGAAAATGAGAATCGAGGTTGAAAGTGAATTATTATTCTGTTATCTTATACAATGATTGTTTGTTTGTTTGAAATATAGCCCAAAATTAATGGGGAAAAGAGCAATAAGCATTTTAAATACAGAGAACCAACATAAATAGGGAAATAAAGACACACTAGGTTTCTTCTTCTTTTTTAAAATTTTAAAGTTTATTTATTTAATTTTGAGAGAAACAGTGTGTGAACAGGGATGGGGCAGAAAGAGACTCAATCCCACGAACCATGAGATCAAGCTGAAATCAAGAGTCAGCCGTTTAGCTGACTGAGCCACCCAGGTGCCCCTAGCTTTCTTTTTAATAACTATCCAAAAAGCCTATATATTGATAAGTCATTGGGGGAATAATGAGGAACAAAATTTGTTCTTACTCCTTCTGGAAGACTTTGCCTCAACTCACTCTTCCAGCAGCTTTGTATATTATTGTTCCCACCAGACACTTGCCAACACCTGTTGTCTCTTGGGTTGTTGATTTTAGCCATTCTAAGGTGTGAGGTGGTATCCCATTGAAGTTTTGATTTTCACTTCCATGATAATAAGTGATGTCGAACATCTTTTTGTTTGTTTCTTGGCCATCTGGATATCTTCCTTGGAGAAATGTCTATTCATGTCTTCTGCCCATTTTTAATTGGACTATTTGGTTTTTGGCCTTTGAGTTGTATCAATTTTTTATATATTTTGGACACTAACCCTTTACTGAATATGTCATTTGCAAATATCTTCTCATGTTCAGTAGGTTGCCTTTTAGTTTTGTTGACTGTTTCCTTTGTTGTGCATAAGTTTGTTTTTTTTTTTTGTTTTTTTTTTTGTTTTTTTTATGTAGTTCCAATAGCTTATTTTTGCTTTTACTTCCCTTGCCTCAGGAGACATATCTAGAAAAACACTGTTTTTTCTAGAGTGTTCTCTGAATCACTGATGTCAGAGAAATTACTGCTCATGGGCTTTTCTAGGATTTTGATGGTTTCAGGTCTTTTACTTGAAGGTCTTAGATCTTTTACCACTTTGAGTTTATTTTTGTGTATGGTGAAAGAAAGTGGTCCAGTTTCATTCTTTTGCATGTAGCCATCCAGTTTTCCCAATGCCATTTGTTGAAGAGACTTTTCCCCATTGTATATTCATTCCTCTAACAAATTCATTCAACAAGGGAGTAATAAATATGACTTTAATTTTTTACTAGTACCTACTGATGCTGCTATTCCACTGTCCATAGTTTGAGAACCAGTGTCTGATGGGAACAACAAAATAAACATTTTGTACCATAATCTAGATGCTCTGTCTGGATTAGTCACCAGTTAGATTGAGGTTTTTTTGGTCAATCAACTACATGTATTCTTCCCTATATTACAAAAAATAATGGCCAGGTTACACATACACGTGTAGACAGAAAGATACATCTATATCAATAAGATATATGCAGTAAATACAAGTTTACTCTTTCAAACTCTTAAAATAAGGAGATTTAAGAATTTTATCCTTCATATGTAGAATAGTTATGAGAAATCACTTCTCTTTCACATATAGTAAACAAGCACATCCTTTGTGTTTGATAATTGAGCTGAATTTCAAATAAACTATGAAAATCTTCAGTAAAATATATTTTGTTCTTATGTATGTATTGTACTACCATGCTTTATCATTATTTCTTTGGTTTATAATTTGTCTTACCCAAGTTAATTATCATCATCTTATTTAATTGTCT